CTAAAAAAAAAAAAATTGCAAGTCACTGAAGTTGTAACAGTTGCTAAATTTACATAACAAATAAATATAGGGTAGCACTAGTATTTATAAAACCAAGTCTCCAGGAGCTACAGGAGAAATAAACAGAAAATTTTAGTATTAGGAGATACCAAGTCATCTTTTCTCAGTTTGCACACACAACACACACCTCACGCCACTGAGGCTTTATGGCATCTGGAGAGCTGCTGCGGAAGCCCCGCCCCTACTTGGACATTCATTTTGTTCACTCAGGAATATTGCAGGGCTGACTTGAGCCGGACTAGGAACGTGGAACATGCCAACAGTTAGTGCCCTCTGAGAGCTTGGGAGGGTGTTCGGGAAGCAGGGACCCTGTCCTTGCACACTCGTTGGCTTTTTAAATGACAGAATTGCTGCCATTTTGTGATTTCTTGTAAGTCAGCCAACAGAGCTGAATTGTTGATCTCACTGTATCAGGACTCCCATTTTACAGGTGGGGAAAACCAAGGCAGAAAGGGTGAGTCACTTGACCAAGTCGCAGGGCAAGAAACACAGAGGCGTTGGTGAACACAGGGTTATCTCTGCACCAAACCAACTGGCCAGAGCGGTTACAAAGAGCTGGGGCGTAGCTTTCTGGGCTGGCTGATTCACTCGTTCGGTTCACCCCAGGCAGTAAGGACTGCCGTGGGAGCCTGAGGCAGGTCCGTGTCCTGTCAGGGCCTCCCCCAGTTAAAATGTCACCCCACCCCTCCACGGGCTACTGCCTGACCCTATGTCTAATTGATCTCTCAGAATCCTACCTGGCCTGCAGAAAGCTCAGTAAGGGCATCTTTCTGATTTTATTCTTTCTGTGGTAATCCTAATCCTCCTGGAGGTAAATGAATTCCTGCGGCAAAGCAGGTTATTCATGTGGAAATGGAAATGCAAAAAGGCAAAAGTATATTAACATACTTCAAAAATATTCTTACTTCTTTAGCCTTTCATTCATTGATCTACATAGTTTTAAATTGGGGTTGGGGCGGGAGGGTACTGTCTTACAGAAACAAAGAGAAACCTACAGGTAAAAATATATGTGCAAGTTAATTTCATCATTCTTTGTCATGACAAAAAATGGAAAGTTCACGAATGTGCAATAAAAATTATTCTGTATCTATAATATTAAGTGGTGTTAGCTATCAAAATGTATTGACCTGGAAAGATATCCATGAAAATGTTGTTGAATAAAACAATATTTTCTTGGACGTATTTTTCATAGCTATCTTTTCAGATGAATATATATCAATATATTGTTATATATATCCCCAGATCAATATATAGTTATATACAGCCAGTGCTCGACTTACGACCACGATTGGTTCTGACAGACCGGTCGTAATACGATTTGGTCGTAAGTTGAGTAGGCTATGTGTACAGTTGAAATGGTGCATGCGGAGATGGTGGTGCTACCGGAAACTGGTCCACACTGTTGTACACCCAGCTGGGCAATGTTTGTGCTGCCAGACGCGGAGCAGTCGTAGCTAGCAATTGTGGTCGTAAAGTCGAATGGTCGTAAGTTGCATAGGTCGTAAGTTGATCAATACCTGTATATATATAACATTATATGACATATCTTTCTAGATCAATATATATATCAATATATTGTTACATATAATCTCCAGATCATTTTATAGTTATGTATATAATATATACTATACATAATATATATAATATATATGTGTTCTCTGTCTATATTTTTTTATTTTATTTCTATTTTTATTTTTTGAGACAGTTTTCCTCTGTCTCCCAAACTGGGGCACAGTGGCGTGATCTCGGCTCACTGCAACCTCCCCCTCCTGGGTTCAAGCAATTCTCCTGCTTCAACCTCCCAAGTAGCTGAGATTACAGACATCCACCACCACGCTGAGCTAATATTTTTATGTTTAGTAGAGACAGAGTTTCACCATGTTGACCAGGCTGGTCTTGAACTCTTGTCCTCAGGTGATCCATCCACCTCAGCCTCCCAAAATGCTGGGATTACAGGTGTGAGCCATCGTGCCCAGCCCTCTATATATGTTATGTATTGATCTGGTGATCTGTGTAACAATATATTGATCTGTAAAAATATCCATGAAAATATTGTCCAGTAAAGTATTGTTTTACTCAACATTTTGAGTTGTAAATTGTAATATAATAGGTATAGCAAATCTTATAATAGGTTTCAATGTAATCTATTGTAATATTATAGGTATTACAAATCTTATTTTTGTAATTAAAAAAGAAATCTTTATACTTATGTTTATGATTTTATGGGTTGTTGTGGGAGGAAATACATTTTTCATTTAGAGCATTTTAGAAAGATCAAAATGGAAGCTGAATGAGAATGTGAAGGCAGAGAGAAATTTTTCTTTAACTTAAAAAACTATATCTCTGAATTATTTTGGCTATTACGATAGTCATATTTATTTTACAACAAAATCATTTAAGAAAACCATTGCACTGACATTCTGGGACATAAGTTCTGTGCACATTTTTGATTTGTTTATTTAGGATGGATTCCTAGAAATGGAAATAGTGACTCAAAAGCTATGAATATTTTTTAATGTTCTTGATACAGATTGGCCAAAGCAATAGCTTTTGAAACCTTTTTCTCTGAATCTCCCTCCTAATATTCTCTCAATGTTGTAACAGGCCTCGTATTTGAGGACTTTTGACTCTCCAGATCCTTCTGTGATTTCTGCTCAGGGTTTCTGTTTCTGGAATTTGGCAATTGTGTAATGTCACAGCTTGCATGGAGGAAGAGAGGCCAAAGGTCACAAGTCTTCTTTAGCTAAACAATTTAGTTTTTCTAAAGCCACTTTCCTGCGTGGTGTTCAGGGGACCACTTGCGTGTACAGGTTCATGACTTGCTGCCACACTCACTCAGTGACATCCATACTCAGTCACTTCATTCATACAGGTAATTTCATATGATTACGTGGTTGAAGACAGTGAAAGTGAAGGTGGGATTTCAGGAAAAAAATTCTTTTAAATCACAGTAAATTTTTAATTTTAAAATCAATGGAAGATTAGTTAATAAAATTTTTTTCATAAAATAGAGACAAGAACCCTTCCCATTTTTTCTGTTAAAATGACATTTTCAGTTATATATTTAATGCATAGTCATTCGAGAAAAATATAAAGGTAGTACAAAGTTGGAGAAAGGAGAAAAGTAAGTTGACGCACAATCCATCACTCAAACAACCTCGTGTGTGTATTTGAGTTGTTAGCAAATATTACATATTTTAATGATGCATAGTGTTAATTATATACTATTTGGGGTCTATTGTTTATTTAATAATATATACTACCATATTTCTTCTTTAATAGAATTTTGGCAATAATTCGACATCTTATGTAGATTTATCGTAATTCATGCAGTTACTTATTATGTTTGAATATTTATTTTTAATGTTTCACTTTTAAGCTGAATATTTTTATCTGTGAATATTTCTATGTATTGCCAACTACCTTTTTTCGGAGTTGAACTGTTTGGTCTAAGAATATGAAGATTTCAAACGTTTTTGGTACTGGAGGCTGTCAGAAGGCAGGACAGTATCTGTTTTGTTCACCATAGATGGTGCGGTGCCTGACACTTAGTGGGGATTGTTAATGTCCCTGGTAAGTGAATGCACCTGGCCAAAGTACTCTTCAGAACTTTGCACCAGTATTTATTCTAAGCAGCAGGGTATGAAAGTTTACATTTCTGTGTGACCTCATCAAGAGATAATTTTGAAATCTGATAATTTTGATAGATGAAAAAGTTGTATCCTATTTTATATTCTATAAGTAAGTTAACCTCTTTTACTGTAAAACTCCTATCATTTTAAAGCAAATTATAATGATTTAGTATTCCAGTGAATGAAATAAATGGCACAGTAAGCAATTTTTAGCCATTGGCTTTTTTTTTTTAATTTCTCGTAATACATGTGGCTTTTTTAAGCAGATGAATTTGAACTTTTGTGCCCTTCATTCCATAACTCCCAGAGCAATGACTTTAGCCTTTTAAAAAATATATTCCTTTACAGTTTAATCTCGAATAACTTCAAATTGTTCAAGGCATTTAATATGTCTTAAATATATATGTATTTCATAATATTTCAAATGAGCTCCTAATCATAACTTGGAGGGACATAAACAGAATCAATAACAACAATATGTTTCAGATTGGGAACTTCTGAATTTAGCAGCAAAGCTGTTCTAAGACTGGGCATAAATATATTCAGTTGGGAATGGAAATTAATTATAGCATTTTTAAAAATTATACTTTAAGTTCTGGGGTACAAGTGCAGATTGTGCGGGTTTGTTACGTGGGTATACATGTACCATGGTGGTTTGCTGCACCCATCAACCCATCATCTACATTAGGTATTTCTCCTAATGCTATTTGTCCCCTAGCTCCCCCAGCCCCTGACAGGAACAGGTGTGTGATGTTCCCCTCCCTGTGTCCATGTGTTCTCATTGTTCAACTCCCACTAATGAGTGAGAACGTGGTGTTTTCTGTTCTTGTGTTCGTTTGCTGAGAATGATGCTTTGAAAATTCTCATTATCTGGTGAGTTGAAGTGGTATAGAAGGATGTGATTCTCCTGACATGGTCTTCTCTGGGAAGGGAAGGGATGGAGGCTTTTTATACCCACTTCCAAATTCTTTGAAATTCTGCTCATGTCCTAACTTGAGCTTTCTATAATCATGGTTAGTGCCTTTCCAATTAGGCCTGTCTCTGGATATTACGAATTAGGAATTTTAAAAATGACCTTTGCTTACAAAAATGTCTGACTTCCGAGACTACAGGACAGTGCTGGTGACTCAAATTCCTATTTCACTGGTTAAAAGTAGAACCATTATGTCTTTTTCTTTTATCTGTTTTTCTGTCATCATCATCATCATTTCTCAAAGCAAATTAATGCTTCTGGATAAGTTAGTTCCTTTAGCTTGAACAGTACTCTTTTTACTGTATTTATTTTACTACTGTACTTTAAATTTTTTTATTCTTAGATCCCTGATTTTCAGAAGTTTGTAGATAACCGGTAACTCTGTAAGAGGAGAGCTATAATTGAAATTAAAACTATCTGCTGATTGAAATGTTTAGGTGACCGTGTGAGTTGAGTGAGTGTGTGTGTGTGTGTGTGCGTGCGTGTGTGTGTGTTAGAGAAAAGAACAAATAAGTGTGTGATTCTTGTATAATATTTTACCCAATTTTTACTGGTAGAAAGTTGTTTTTAAAATAGAAAATATTTTTGATATTAGAGAAGTAGTTAAAATCCAACTACAAGGTACCTGAAAAAGGGCTAGAACTAACATAATTTGATAGTTTAGCTCAATTCAAAATAAGTTACAAAACACAAGTGGTTATCTCAGGAAAAAAATAAATGGCACAGAAATAGATATCTAAAACTACACTCACATACACAGACATGTGAAAAATGAGAGTAATTGACAGTGCTGTTTATAATATTTAAAATAGAATCTTGCTTTAATTGGAAGGAAGACCAATAAAATAAAAATCCATTCATGCTGAAAAGTATTTTCTGCAATTACATAACAAAGCAGCATTGAACTTAGAACTAGTGAAACACAATAAAAAAGAGACCTTGATTAAAGATGAAAAAATATATTTTTAAAATATTATTTCACATTGTCAGAATTTCAGAGAAAATAGAATGGCTCAACAGACTCACTTAATCTCTTTGTCATCACATTTGGCCATGGTCTCTTTTCTTTAAGATACATATTGGATTCATTTAAAAGTATATTTGATACTTCTCCACCCTCCTCAGTCACTGGTAGGTTGAAAAGGCTTGCCCTATCTTTACATACTTCTACCATATTTCCCATGAAGAGGAGTATTTATGCTGTGAAAGGCAAATACTTTTTTAAAAAATGATGTAGCATATATCAAAGAATACCTCATACATTTGAGGCATACTTTGAGTATGCAATAATGAACGACTGCTGGTTGATATAATTTCTGTGTTGCAAATCAAATTTTCATTGCTGATGGAAAATCACTTTTTAGATCAGTTGCAAATCTCAGCTCTCATCTGGGTTTACGAGTTTTGGTTTCAAAATTCTGAAATGAAAATTAATTCTGGTGATCCCTTGCATTTACATGAGCAGTCTCTTACCTCTAACTGTGTGAGACTGTATTGAAAGTACAAGCATTTTTGGAAAATTATATAAATCATTAAGATCATTTTAACTGAAGATTTTAAAGGTGAGACTGGCTTTAAAATTCCATGTTACTAGTTGACATAAGGAGCATTTCCTCACTTGTCATTGGGGTGTCTTTGACACTAAGGTGAACATTCACCAGCCAATCTCAAATATGGGATTTGATGGAAGAATCAACAATTGCAGATAACCCTATATATTCAGAAAAAACGGAATAAAATAGGGAATGGTTTATAATGTAACCGACTTTGGTTTTCTTTTAAGGAAAACATTTTACATAATGAAGAATGCAATTTGATAAATGTAGATTTTCTTAGAAATATTCTTCACTTTCTCTATTCCTAGAAGTTTTAAGCATTGTTTTCAAGTGTGTTGAAATGTCAGTTTTAATCATAAGGCAGGTCTTGCCAATTATATGTGTGTTCAATCCCCAGCCCACGGTAAAATTTTTTTAGCTTAAAATGCCACTGAAACATTTCTCTGTAGGTGATTTCCTCTGGTTTTTCCTCTCTATGCACAATGAATAGAAATCTTTTGCTATGGAAATGATGGAATAATAGTTTCATATAAGACTGTCAATGAGATTATAAGAATTGTGAACAAATGGCAAAATTACATATATTTTATTTTGCTTATATATTAAAAATTATATGTATAATATATTATATTTAATATATATTTATGTATTATACATTAATAATGTATATTAATGTATAATATATACATATATATGTTATATAGGTTTGCTTTATGAGATTGTGATGGCTGGCTTAAAGCCTGACAGCTGCAGTACAAGTGGTCCAGCAAGGGTGACCATGATCAGGCTGGAATCCTTAGGCATGGGCTGATGATGTTGTCCACAGTGGTCAGGAAGAGAAGACCAACAGCAGGGTAGAGCCCTGTGGATACTAACTGTTTGGAGCTTAGGTGCTCAGGGAAAGCCTGAGCCCGTTGAAAGGGCTCACCTGGGTAAATACCATCCACTTTGGATAATCTCTCATTTGATTTACTCAAAGTCAATCAATAAGGAACCTTACTTACATCTACCAGATCCCTTGACCTCACCTAAGGTAACCTAACTGCAGGAGGGATACTCTGTCGTATTCATTGGCCCCACTTACACTCTAAGGGACAGCATTGTATGGGGTGTTAGAGGCTCTTCCTTTGGTGCTGTGACCTTAAGTTCTGTGACTGCTGCTGTGGAACCCCCTTCAAGACCCCTTCAGCATGAAAACTTTAAAAATCCCTTTTCCATAAACCATTCGCCAGAATATCTTCTCCTGAGAAGCCCTGGGATAAAGGGTGATATACTTTTTTTTTTTTTTGCATTCTGTCCTGGAAGGGTCAAGCCCGGGGTGGCCTGTCAGTACCAGTCATTTCTCTTACCGTGTAACATTTTTAGACTCCCTTTTCACAGTGACCAACTATTCTGTGCTACAGTGTGGCACCATAAATTAGCAAATAAAACAATTTCACCATTTTTCGTTAAATACAACAAATTTGGTTAAGTGATTTAAAAACTTTAACCTCTTAGCACAGTAAAAATAATCTACAAATCGATTTTGTGGATTATTTCAACCAAAAAGTAACCATTTTTGGTTATATTTTTTGTTAAATTTAACCAAATTTAGTTAAATGGTTAAAAAATTTTATTATTTATCTTAAAGAGACCTGGCTGTTAAAAAATAAATAAAAACTCCATCATCTAAGGATAAAGGCCTTTTTTCTTCAGTCACCTGACAGAGTAATTTGGATAGACATAGGATGATTTTAACTAATGCTAGAAGAATTCCTCTGAACTGCATGCTCTGTATTATAAGAAATAATTCTGTAGGACTAGTTTTAGTCTTTTAATAAGTCTAGTTTTGTATATCTAGTATGTACATAGCGTCACTTGGTGTATCTATGTGTATAAGGCCACAGTTCTTCAGAAATAGTTTTGGCTTCGTTAGGAGCCAGTTTGGTACATACCCAATGCCAAATATCACTTAATAGTTTTCAGACCAATCTTTTTAACATCTGGGTCTATTTTAATATTCATTTAAAAATTAGATGTTCCAAGCATTTATGAATGGGATTATTTGAATGCTCATAATGGGAGGAGTTTGTCAGCACAGTTTTTATGGGAAATCCAAAGGGATTTCCAGAAATTCATTCATTCAGCCGTCTTCATGAAGGACCTGACATTTGCAGACACTATTCTGGTCTTGAGGCTATGGGAGGTCAGGGTGGAGGAATCAGACATACAATTCCTGCTCTCAGACAGGTGAATGATAGTCAAGTGCGAAAGAAGACAGTTGAGGAATGGTTTTAACAAAGTGCTAACATTTCTCTGATATGTTATGAGAGTACGACATGCTATGAGAGTACATGAATGTAAAGAGAAAATACCTATCCATGCAAACCTCTTCGAGTGAAAAGGCAGTGTTTGCAATAATTCTAGACCGTGCTGAAAACTTATTTTATCTTTGAGTATTTTTATAGCTCTTAAGATCTCAAGATCATTCTTGCAGGATAAGTAATTAGAAGACTATAAAAGTTAAAAATTTACAGGCTTTAATGAATAAGATAATGTGTGTAAGATAATGCTAAGATTAGGAGGATCTTGACATTTTCTTGATTAAATATAAGACGTATAGGAATTAAATTTTATATAGTCTTTTGAGGGAAGTTTCTATTTAATGGCAAAATACTTAAGCTAGAGTGTTCTAATGGCAATTTGATCTTCAGATTAGAAAATTTCTATCGATTAACTTTTAATTTAATTAGCTCTCTTTTTTTTTTTTTTTGGAGACAGAATCTCACTCTGTCACCCAGGCTGGAGTGCAGTAGCGGGATCTTGGGTCACTGCAACCTGTGTTTCCTGAGTTCAGGGGATTCTCCTGGCTCAGCTTCCTAAGTAGCTGGGATTACAGGCACACGCCACGGCCTGGCTAATTTTTACATTTTTAGTAGAGATGGGGTTTCATCACGTTGGCCAGGCAGGTCTCTAACTCCTGACCTGGTGATCCACCTGCCTCAGCCTCCCAAAATGCTGGGATTAAAGGCCTGAGCCACTGCACCCGGCCAATTTAATCAATTCTTTGTTAAACAACTCCAATCCGATGCTAAGCTGATCAGTTAATTTTGTATTTATTCTTTCCATTTTTCTACTTCATTTATTTTTGTGATGTACATTTTAGCTCTATTCACTACATATACGTTTACTTTTATATCCTTGAACATATTTTGTATTTATAATAGTTGCTGTGAAGTCCTTGTCTGCCAGTTGTAAGATCGGGGCCATCTTTGCGTCGATTTGTATTGCCTGTTCTGTTGTGATTTTGTTTTTCCAAAAATATATAGCTCACATTTTCTAGTTTCTTTACATCTACTTATTTCTGACACTATATCGGATATTGGAAGTGATACATAGTAGAGGCTCTGAATTTCAGGTTTTTTTCTGAAGAACGATTTTGGTTTTGCAGACAGTTAACCTTATTGGATTGAAACTTCGGTTTTCTCTCTTTTGTATGAGGAGTTGCTTATATTTTTACTCAAATCTTTCAGCTTCCATCTGCTGCCGTTATACTGGGCTTTCCTCCAGCACCACAGTTTAGAGGTCAGCAGAATTTGGATAGGTTTTTTACAAAGATTTTGTAGATATCTGTGTGTCCAAGATTTAGCCCATCTAATTATTTCATTGCTTGTGAAGCCTGAAGCATCTCCTCTGACACCTCAAGCCAGTAAAGCAGCAGATTTCTCCTGCCAGAGTAGCAGACAGATTGGGCACAGCATGCCCCAGAGCAAAAGGCAGCCACTTACCGGCCACACAAGGTGCTGTTTGCCTTTCAGAGAGATCTGTTTTCCAGTTTCTTCTGCTTTTGGTCCATCCAAAGTGCCCTTAAGTCAGTTCTTAAAAGTATTTTTTTCTAAATTTTATACTAGTTTCCATAGGAAAATTCGCTCCATGCAGCAACTTCATGATTTTCCAAAGCGGAACAAGTCAAAAGAAAAACAAAGTTTAAAAGCTGATGCCAAAATTAAGGCCAGTAATATAGATAGAGTACAGCTAATACAGAGTTTTAGTAAGATTATTACTTGCCTAATCTGAGCACTTTATTTCCAGGAATACAGGCTAATTTTCTGTTAGATGCTTTTACTACATGTCACATTCGTGGTTCATGCTATGCTTCAGCTTATGGTCATTTAAAGCATCTAGATTAGTTTCATCTGAATTTCTCCTAAGCTTGAGCTACAGAAAATGACAGAAAATAAAAGAAGAAAAGAACATAGATGGCCTTTGGTCTTTCATTCAGCAAGTGATCTCAGTTATTTTTTCTAATATAACTTCAGTATTTTTTACCTCACTCAAGGGTCAGAGTAATTATTAAAACGTAGTCATTGGCTAGGAGTGGTGGCTCATGCCTGTAATCTCAACACTTTGGGAGGCCGAGGCGGGTGGGTTACTTGAGGTCAGAGTTCGAGACCAGCCTGGTCAACGTGGTGAAACCCCGTCTCTGCTAAATATACAAAAATTAGCCAAGCATTGGGGTATGCGCCTGTCGTCCCAGCGACTCAGGAAGCTGAGACAGGAGAATTGCTTGAAACCAGGAGGTGGAGGTTACAGTGGGCTGAGACTGCGCCACTGCACTTGAACCTGGGCGACAGCAACAAAAACATAATCATTAAATTTCATAATTAAATCTTCAAATCCAGAGACGGATGTTAAATACATAACTAAAATACAAAGAACGCATGATTTCACAATTAATGATTGTGTGACTTCTTGATATACAGTCCATAAACCTATAAATAATCTAGCCACAAACTAATTTGCTTGAAGAAAAGACCAAAAAGAAAAGAGTTAGAGTCTCACTGTTCTGTTCTGAAGAGATAATTACAGTGTTCTGTTTTTATCCCCAGAATTTAATTTTCCTACTGACAGGGTTGGTATAAGTAGATTAGTAGTTTATCTAGGTTGATAGGATGAAATTGGAATGGTTTTATTGTCTGTTGTATTACAGATGCTTAGACTAGTGTTTCAAGTTATTTGCATGATTGAATCAACTTAATTGATAATTATATATTTTCTTAGATGACCTTGACCTTTTGTGTTAAAAATTTCAACTCATTTTAATTTGAATTTTCAATTATTTGTGGAGTGTTCATAATCATTTTAAGGTCATTAATTATTAGTACAGTCTGCAAATAACATGAAAAATCTTAGACTTCGGGGTTTAGAATTGTCCCTTTTTGTATAGCAGACATAAATTTTACTCCCACTGAATCTTCAAAACACTTGTGTCACTATAATTCCAAACAAAAGTCATATGACCAAAGACATGGAAGATACTTAAAGTGGCAGGGTCCAGTGGCTCACACCTCTTTAATCCCAGCACTTTGAGAGGCTGAGGCAGGTGGATCACGAGGTCAGGAGTTTGAGACCAGCCTGACCAACATGGTGAAACCCTGCCTCTACTAAAAATACAAAAATTAGCCAGGTGTGGTGGTGGGCACCTATAATCCCATCTACTCAGGAGGCTGAGGCAGGAGAATCACTTTAACCTGAGAGGTGGAGGTTGTGGTGACCTGAGATCGCCCCATTGCACTCTAGCCTGGGCAACAAGAGTGGGACTCTGTCTCAAAAAAAAAAGACACTTAAAGTAAATTAACAAGGAAGGTTAGACCAAGGAAGAAAAAAGAGTAAAAGACGAAAGAAAGGAGGACCATTGGCTTTTTCACTGTTGCTTTAGGCACTGTTCAAGACTTTAAGACACAGTGAGTTCCTGAAGATCAGAGCTATACATGGAAGGAAAAATGGAAAGAGAGTGTGTTAGAGGAGGAAGTATTGACATAAACAGAGATTTGAAAGAGACATTTGGTTAGTGTCAGAGGATGGATTGCTACTTCCTAGCAGAGGAAGCCTGGCATAGTAGCCCTTTAAGAGTCAATACTTCTGTAGTCCAAGTTTGAGATTGCACTCATGGAAACTGAATTTTAGCTTCGATTAATTCAAAATAAATAATCATTTTAATTAACGGCTTCATTAACAATCATCGTCACCATTATTACTGTCAAAATTGTCAAAATATTTGAAGTGTTTATCCCAGGGAACTATTCTGAAATCTACAT